TCCTCTTTTTAATCAGGTGAATGGGTAACTCTGTCTCCCCAGAGCTCCAATCACCAACTAAAATGGCACCCACACCCCTGTATTTTGTATGGAGAACCACTGCACCGGGGCACCGGCCAAAACAACCATGCTTGCTCAAACAGCCATGCTGGCCGAAACAGCTGCGCTGGTGACCCGTGGGGCTCCTCCACCTGGGAATCTCCTGGTCTGTGGGCAATAAAAATCTGTCTGGAAATGTGGTGTCCACTTACCCTCTACGCTTCCACTGGGAGCTGCAATCCTGAGCTGCTCCTAATCGGCCACCTTGGATCCATCCTTTATTATTATTTTAAAGGGTCTGTGTGTGACAGTTTAACTTTTTGTACCCACAGAGGCATTCTTAATTCTTTATTCAATACCTAATTGCTCTTAATTTACTCACAATTCTAAGAGGCAGATTAGAAGTAGAATGTTGTAGGTTTTGGTAGTCATGGAGCACTCTGGAGGCAGTCACAAAATGAAGAATCAACAGAAAAGAAGTCGTAAGAGTAACTAAATCAAGGATAAATAAAATATCAGGAACTGGAGCTATTTGGGAGGGTTAAGGAACAAATGATTTTGTACAACCTAATGCCTCTTTGCATGCAATAATCTTTTATTTCACCGTTAGTGCTCTGTCTTCTTGTCTGCCACAAATTACATTCCCTTTCCCACAAGAGAAACATGCATATATAAAAATCAAGTGCATTTAGTTCCTGTTTTCAGAAAATCACTATTGTATTGGATATAAGTATATATCAGTATGGACAGGCCAAGTTATTCTGTAGGAACAAGTAACTCCCAAAATTTTGGTGGATGAAAATAAGAAAGGTTTATTTCTTTTTCATGCTTCATTTCCAGTGTGTTTAAGTGGGTATTGGGGGCTCTGCTCATTATAGTTGCCCACAGCCTCTGCCAATGACATCTTCCTGTGAACACATGCTCTACAGTGTTCACTGTAGAGCAGCAAAGGGAAGATGCTGAGTCATCCATAGGCCCTTAAAGCTCCTGCCTGGAAGTGCTACATGTCACTTCTCACATTTCATAGTCAAAGCAAATCACAAAACCACTTCAAGGGGCAGGGAAAAACACAGAGCCTTTCAAGGATGTGGAAATATAATTTCCTGTATGCCCAAGGGGAAAATTTAGAGATATTTAGTGAATGGCATTAATGGCCAGACTTATTGGACCACAATGTGAAAAACAGTTTATGCACATACCACAGTGTGGTCCTCTATGTCTGAGCCTCCTGACAATATAGAACAACTTTGTTGGATAGCCTGCCTACCTCTGAGCAAGGGGATATTCTTATGTCCCCTGTATCTATGTTGACTGTTTAGATAAAATATTTGCATAAGGTTCTGAGGAAATGAGATACCGTGTTGGTGAGATTTGATGAGATATGACAGATAAAAAGAAGTAGTGTGGGGTGTGCGATGGGTGAATCCTGTGAACATCCTCAGCTCTGGGGAGGTTGCAAGTTCCTAATGTGGTGAGGATTGTAGTATTCTTCCTGCTTTATTTAGAGCGTTAGGTATCTCTTCCTGTTCTTCCAGCTTTCTTTAGAGTTAGGTATTCTGCAAGCTTCTTGTATTTCCCTCTCCCCTCCATTTTCATTTTCTTCTTTTAATACTGCCTAGATCAGCTGGTTCTTCACTCTCAGTGGGAATTGGGGACTCTGCTCATTATAGTTGCCCACAGCCTCAGATTCACACTGCTGCTTTGTTTTTCCACAAGCAGAACCCAAGAAAGGCTTTGCTTATATTTCTTCTTTTAATGTTGCGTTGTGACATGAGTATTTGGGCTCACATGCTATGGCATGGATTCGTAAAGGAATATACTCATACATCAGGTACAATCTACCTGACCCAATTTCACTTTAACTTTGTGAAGGGTGACTTTGAAATCGGAATTGGATGCAGAGGGTGCCATAGAGGTCAACACTGTGAACATAAAAAGGGAAGGAGTGGTTCTGCAAGCACAGATGAGATTTTGAGAAGCAGAGCTACAGGTAATTAGCACATGGCTCCCTAGAAACAAAGGTAAAATGAGTAGACCAGGAATATACTCTGTCTCTTGAGAGCAAAACCTCACAATCAGCACTGGTTCTTCCACAAAGGGTGTTTCTGGGTCATTTTTCTTTCCAACCACAATTAGTCATATTTGTTTTTTACTTGGTGACCTGACAGAAGATTGGCCACACACTACTGAGGTATGTGAATTTGCTGAGCTGGAAGGTGCTGCTGCTCATATGCGTGACCCACCCCACTCTTAAGGATCTATACCGTCTGTGTAATAAAGCTGTGGGATTCTCAGGCAAGAAATATTGTGGAGGTAATGGGGTGAGTCTTGATATCTCTTAAATAAAAAGTCAGGGCTGTAGACCTCATGGCCTCTGATCATCCATAGAGACCTGGATGGAGCTGAGTATTGTTTGTAAGACACTGGCTTCTGTAACTATCTTTCCAGATGGGTCCCAAGGAGATGAAGGCCCAGAAGATCTTAAAAATATGTGTATGAATTTGTCTTCAAGACCACACAGAATCAGGAGCCTCTCCCTATACTACACTGTCAGACCAGGTCCTCCAAAGTTGACTTAGGCCTTTCCATGCTTTTCAGAGGCATTTGTGATCCATTCTGCAGTCTGGTCCTGGCTAGTCCTTTCTTGTTTATGCCCAACTTGTCCTTCTTAATGACTTTTCATTGTGGTTTGAGCTTTCCTGCCCATAGAATTGCCCATCAATTTCAACACATTATTCTGATTCTAATTATCCTTTAGAATTGGGCTTTGACCTCATGTTGTCTATGAATCCTGTCTAATCACTCCTGCTGAAAAATGTCTTGCCTCATATTTCCTATTTTACACAGAGACCATTCCAGCTTCCCCTCCCATTTATTTCCTGCACATGGAAACATCCTGCATTTGACATTGTGAGTGTATCTCATACTCCCATGAGTAATATCCTTAAAGACCAAGACATATGTGTGGGAAGTGAGAGAGAAAGTGTAGAGATATAAAGATATTTTACATTCTTTTATGTATTTAAGTTGTCAGCCTGGGTTACCCCACCTAATAAAACATAAATATTATATCACATCTTCAAATTCAGGCGTCCCTCCAAGATTTCTACAAATTCTGGAAGGTTTATAGCCTCCTTCTCATAGTTACCCTCACTACTATTTCCTGTTGGTCTGAATCTCACACATGAGATAAGACTTTACCTTGTCTCAGCTTTGAACCTACCTGACATGGAAACTACTCCTGTTCTTGAATTTTCCTGAGGATATGGTTCATGTATGGCATTCACAGTAGCAGATTATATTGAAGTCTTATAGTGCTTAGACTCCTTTTGCACCATGTAGTGAAAATAGCATACTAGATATTTCTTAGCATCACTGTTATTTCAGTATCAGTCAACTGAGAAATTTCTCACTAGCTCACTCCACAAGACATGCAGTGTGATATGCCCCAGAGGACTGGATCCCTTCCCTTTCTGCATGTCTTCAATCCAACATAAATCTCCCATTCTCCAATTCTCCTTGATTTTTTAACAAACATTTAGCTATCTCTTACCACATTTCTAACCACATGCTAGGTGTCTTGTCTTTCATGACCCAAACACAGTAGCAGGTTAAGAAGGCAAACTAAAGAGAAGGCCATTGACATTGGAGATCGAGCATGCTACCTATTATCTCAATTGCATCAGGGGTAGGTGGGACTCAGTAATTGTTCTTTTAAATAACAAACCTTCAGCCAGGTGGTGGCTCCCGCCTGTTATTTCAGCACTTTGGGAGGCTGAGGCAGGTAGATCACCTGAGGTCAGGGATTTGAAACCCTGTCTCTACTAAAAATACAAAAATTAGCTGGGCATGGTGGCAGGCACCTGTAGACCCAGGTACTCTAAAGGCTGAGGTGAGAGAATCTCTTGAACTCTGGAAGCAGAGGTTGCAGTGAGCCGAGATCATGCCATTGCACTTCAGCCTGGGCAACAAGAGCAAAATTCCATCTCAAAAACAAAAAACAAACAAAACCCAAAAATGACAACAAAAAACAAATCTTCTAGTCATTCTGATATATTTGTATCCAACTTACAAGAATATGGCATCTTTTTTTGGGCACCAAGCATAGTGATTTTCACAAAGTAGATATTTGATGTCTATATATTGGATGAAAAACAATTGCAACAACAAAATCCAAGGTACTTCCCTGCTCAGATGAGAGGCTGTGGCTCTGACAAAGCTCTGGGTCTCTCTCACCTGCCCCATCATTCCCACATCCTTTCCTAGCCTCCAGATTTCTGTCTATTGTTGTTATCTGGTTGTCATTTAATCCCCAGAAAAAGTTTATCTTATAAAGGTGTAAAAAAAAAAGTTTATCTTATAAAGGTGTAAAAAAAGTTTATCTTATAAAGCGTGTGTAGCACTCCTTTTGGCTTCTCTTCTCCACCACCTACCGAAAACAGAAAATCAAGATTCAAAGTAAAACAGCTAAATATTTAAGTATGAAGAAATATTTAGCCAGAGGTCCTGCCAATTGTCCCTTAAATGCCACTTGTTAAGTGGCTTCATGTATTGTAAGCCAGCATCACTTTGGGTTTTTGTTAAAAATGCAGAATATCACAATCTATGAGGATTCTTAGTGCATTCTAAATAAGCTCCTTGAGGGATTCTTATGCTTAAAAGTGTGAGAGCTATAGTGTAAATGCATCCTCATACCCATGTTTCAGAGAAAAGAAGATTCTTCCTTTAGCACTAGTACCTCTTCTGTCCTGACCCTTCTGCCTTCATTATGGCAGGAAAAGATTAGTTCATTATGCCATATTGACAGCCAAATACATTTCTGTTTTATTTTCATGTTGGCTTCAATAAACTATTATTTTTTATGGAATATATCAATTAGACTTATTCATCATAAACAGATTTCTGAACACAACCACTTATATTGTAAACTTATCTAACACACCCCTTTTTCTGATAAGTAGCTAAAGAGGAAACACAAAGCATATACATTTGCTGGCATTTTAAATTACAGAAGAAAATGCAACAGGAAGTAACTTCAGCTGGAATGTGACTTGCAACCAGATGTACTTACTGAACAGGGCATACCTGGTGTGAGCTTGGGACACGTGAGTGGAACCTTCAATGGTTAGCCACCTCTGCTGCCTTTCAGACTTATGCTTTCTTTAGAGGCAAGTTCCTGGACCCTTGGAACTATGGGAATTTAATGCTGATGCCAGCAGAAAAAACACCACCCTTCCAGTTCCCTACAGCTACTGCCTGATTCTCTTGAACTGCAGCAGAACTCTCCTCCTCTGCAAATCCTGACCCCGCTGAGTGTGTGAGCTCTGGCAGAGTATCCAGGGTAAATTGGCACACACTCCCTCCTGTCTGTTTGGGTGACTCACTGTGTTCAGAGCACATTTTCCCTTCATTGACTGCCAGCTATAGCTATTGGCTCACTCATTCTCTTTGGAACAACTCAGCACTCCTGTGCTAATGCAGTTGCTTGAACTGATGTACAATTGTGTGGAGTCCTGCAGAAAAACATAAAACTCTGCTGAAGGCTGAGACCTGTCTCATTTACCAGGACATCAGACAAAGATGCTTATCTTTGTCTACTTGTTGCTAACATACTCATCTTATCTGTGGCCCTCTTATTGCTTTCCAGCGTATAGAAACCTCACAAACTGCAAAGACTCAAAAGTGCCAGTGGTCAGGATATCAAAGACGAATGTGTTTCCTTTTATCTGTATCTTAAGATGAGAAACTAAAGGCTTGCATATGTGGAAATATAGGCAATTTCTCTCCCTTTCCTGCTATTCTCAGCACTTGTGTAGTTTGGAGTGTATTAGCTGAGCCTTGTATATAGACATAGATTTCACGTAAGTTAACTATCTTCCTATATAAGCCACTACCTTCATTAAAAGCAGGGAACCATTCTCTTTTGTGTCTACTCCAGAGCCTGGTTATAGGTTGAGTTCAATGCATCCTTAGAAAGGCTTGTTGAAAAACTGAATGGGGCAAACTCTCATAGAAAAGCAGAGAGTGTTGAAGGAAGGGCTATTTTGCCAGTCATCTTAATTTTTTCCACACAATTTCTGCACATCAAAAGAAGTCTTCAGTTATTCTTGGAGAGAAAAAATGCATAATAAATCAGTCTGCAGTAACCTAATTTCACCTCATGGGTTAGACAAATAGCCAGAATTGAGTTTTAAAGAAAAAGTGTCTGTGAGAATCTGGGCACACGACGGAGGCTGGGTATTTTATGTGAATTTGTCCATGTGCGATGAATGTCTTAATTTTTCCAGTTAAAATGGTTAAGCTCTTGGACTCTGGAGTTAGAGATTTGAAATGGATTTCTGTCTAGGCCACATATAAATGGAGTGAATATGTGTGACACCACTTAACCGCTTTAAGCCTCAGGTGCTTCACATATCAAGCATATGTAATAGAAATCCCTCATGGAGTTGTGGTTAGAGTTAAATGAGACAATTGATGTCATGTGCTTAGCCAGATAACTAATATATAGTAATTAATAAATGACAGTTATTATTACTAATGGTGTTTGATTACATGTGGACATTGAGGGATGGGGCAATTGAGACTTACATTCATATATTAATTTGTTTCTAATATTGACCTGAATTTCTATGTAGTTCACTGTGAGAAAAAAAGAAAAAAACATCACCTCTCATGAAAAAAGCAAAGCTAAATATCAATGTCACTAATCATCAGGAAAATGCAAATCGTAATCATAATGAGATATTAGCTTCCTCTTGTCAGGATGACTATTGTTTTAAGAAACATACAAAATATCAGAAGTGTTGTTGAGGATGTGGAGAAATTGGAACTTTTGTACAGTGTTAATGGGAATGCACAGTGGTGCAGCCACTATGGAAAATAGTGTGGAAATACAAAAACTAGAACTGCTGTATGATCCAGTGATCTCATTTCTGGGTATTTATCCAAAAGAATTAAAACTAGAATTTCAAAGAGATATTAGCACTCCTGTGTTCACTGAAGCACCATTCACAGTAGCCAAGATGTGGAAACAATCCAAAAGTTTGCTGACAAGTGAATAGATAAAGAAAATGTGATATATATGCAGAACATAATACCATTCAGCCTTTAAAAAGAAGGAAATTCTTTAATATGCAGTAACGTACACGAACCTTGAGAACAGGTAGCACAATAAACCAACCACTGAAAGACAAAGGCTGCATGATTCCATTCATGTGACATATCTAAAATAGTCAAATTCATAGTCAAAGAAAGCCATGGTGTTACCAGGTACCGGTGGCAGGGGTAAATAGGGAATTACTAATTACTAGGCATAAAGCTTTGGGCAAGCAAGATGAATCTGGAGATCTGCTGCACAATGTTGCACCTATCATCAACAATATACTGTATGCTTAAAAATGTGCTGAGGGTAGATATTATATTAAATATTCTTACCACTTTAATAATTGTCTAAAACCTTAAATTAAAATTAAATAGAAGTATTCGGTACACTCTCATTGGCCTATTGTTAATGCTTCACCTTGTGGAAAGTTGGCAACATGAGAGTTTTATGGAAAGAGAATCGTTCCATCACTTTTATTTCCAAATATGTAACTGACTCTTTCAAAGGTTGAATGTCAAGCTTATGTAACTGCATGGAATTACTCGATGATTTGAGTGATTCCAATTCATCATGACATCTTGGATCCAGAAGCCGTTTCTGAAGCCATCCCAAATAGATAAAGATCATCTACTGTCAATAGAACTGGGATTTCAGTAAGAAAAATTGGCAGAAGATGCATTTTTCATGTACTTCCGTAGTTTTTGAGGGTTGTTCCATACTGAGCTATGAGAGTATTGATTTTACCCCAATGGCTTCCATATTAGAAAAGATGTAAGAAATATACTTACTAATTGCATATTTTAAGTCTTCAAGATATATCTAGGACAAAGCAATATTACAGCAAGAAGCTTTGAACTTTCTGGAAAAATCAAATTTTATTTTTCCAATTGAGATATCACAAATAATATTGAACATGTCTTAAACAACTTCAAATCAAAGATAATACATTTAAGACAATAATAAAATTGTCCACGATACCCTTTGGGAATAATCTTGGAGAAAACTATTCTTCATTAAAAATGGATATTGCTGAACAAAACAAATATAATGCAGAGGCACTTGCTTACTTTACATTGATCAGTGAACTCTATTTGACCTTCACTTTAAGGACACATAGCAGGAAAGCTGTCTGGAATACCCCACCCTAAACAGTGGATGAATTTGTTACATCTCTGAGTAAAGAATGCCTGAGCATCACTACTTGATAGAGGAGGAAAAACAAAAATAGTTCAAGCCGTTTTTATTCAGGAAAAGTTCAATTTTTAGGTTCATCCTCAAAACACTGAAGTTGAAGAGACTTGGAGCTCGCTGACTTAGTGGTATATTTCAGTTATGAATAATAAGAGATGAAGCATTTGTTACTATTGTAAAAACCTGATAAGCTCTATTCCACAGTGACTCAAAACTCTGCTGAGTTAATACTTTTGGAACAAGACTGATCTTGGCTTGAAATTACACTGAATCAAGTGGACACTTTTTAGACCTTATCTTACTTGACTGCTCTGCACACTTTGACATTGTTGGCTGAACTCTTCTCTGTGAAACTCTTCAGCTGAGCTGAACTCTTCCTTGGCATCTGAGATTCCTCACTCTCAAAGAGGTTCTCCACTCTACCTTGTGATGACTTGTGACCAATCTCTTAAAAGTTGGTCTTGCTGAGATTTTGTTGTGATCTTGTTAGAATTAAACACTAAACACATAGTCTTTTGGTGATGTCATCTATTTATGAGATCAACTACTACATATAGGGTAAAGAATTTAAAAATCAATTATATTCTGAGACCAAAATCTCTATTTCCAACTCCTTACTAGATATTTTTGCTTGGATGTTCTTCTGCTACCCAACATTTAATGGGTCTGTACTGAACTCATTATGCTCTACTGTGCTTCTCCTATTCTTCCTGTTTCCATGAGTGCTACCACCTAGATGCCTCATTCAAAAACCATTCTTGACTCCACCTTCATTGTTCCCCATAAATAATCTCAAAGACTGTCTATATTCTAATCCTCTCTCATCTTCTCCATCTCTGGTCATATTCATTGTCAGTGTCTCAGTTCAGTCTCCCATTGTCTGTCTCTTGATCACTGCCTTCGACTCCTAACTGGTTTTCCCTTACTCTTTTCTCTATGCTTCAGAGTTTTACAAAGTGTTACAAAATAGATATCTGATTATTTCTTTCACCAGATTAAAATTCTCCCAAAATTTGCTATCATCCTTATAATAAAGTCAAACTTGTAAGCAAGTAAAGAAGTCCTGGATGCTCTGAATTCTTTTTACTTTTTAATCTCTCTAGCTTTAGCGTTTGCTCTCTTTCCTCTTGTACTACTTTATGGCCATATTAAAATACTTGAAGTTGCTCAATGAGCCATTTTCTCTCTTTCCTCTGGGTCTTTGCCTATGTTCTTCCCTCTGCCTGGAGTAATCTCTGTTTGTCTCATTATTTGTCTGGCTTCTTATATACAAACAGTTGTCCTTATGATGTAAATATGGAGAAACCAACAGATGACAGCAAAATGCACCTGAAAATGAAGCAAAGACATGAGGAGTTTAAAAGACAGAGAAGAACTGCCTTTAATCAAATGCTTGGAGATTTGAACTTCTTATATTTTGATTACCAATGTACTTTTTTTCTCAAATTTGTAAAGGTACTGGATTTTCCTAGCCCTTTCCGTTTATTTCATGTTCCTATCCATAAATAATAGAAAGTGGTTTGGCTATTTTCAAGGCATAAAAGAAAAACAACAATAACCTTTGAGCATATACTGTAGCATTGAACACATATTCTTTTCAATTCTAGGCCTATGTTAGATGTTATTTCTTGTTACTGCTATGAAACCTGATGCATTTAAATATCATACTTACGGAAAAATCTTTTCAATGATATTTACTTATCGTTCTCCTTTGAGAGTTATTTGAGGGCATGTGCTATGTCTTTTCAATATCCTATCCCTTATGTCTTTTTCAGCACTTGGTAAATGGTAGTCACTCAACAGATACATTTTAGAATTAACTAATTAATTGTGGAATTACAACCCAAGAAGAAGATGCCTCAAATATCTTGTATTATTTCAGAGTCACTAAGCATCAGATGAGGATTTCTGGACAACTTTTCTCAGCTCACATCCGGATATGGGAATGATAGAGAGAGAGTAGACAATTAACCTTAGGTTACAGTAGCCATGAACTGGGCTCTGAAAGCACACAGCCAGGGGTTGGAGTCTTCCCTGTGCCTTTCTAAGGAGTATGAGAGAGACCTTTTATTGGTCTTGAGGGCATTATGGGCCCCATAATCTCTGAAGCCACGGAAATACTTACCTCCATATTCATGGCTTTTGGAAACTCAAGTGGAATCCAGAATGTTGGACCTGATGCTCCATGGATTTTTGGGAATCAAGTCAAGGTTATCAGTGGCTACAGAGGGCCAAGAGAGCTTGATATTTACATACATTTTCTTCTTCCAAATGAATAATGGGATTATTTGTCTATAGTTCTGCCAGAGGCCTTTCCAGATTGTGATGCATTGGGAGAAAGCCACCATGAACATGTCCTCAGGTCTTCAGTCTTTTGCCATTGCATGAGAAACGGAGCTTGTCAAACATGTAGCAGAGCTGAACTTCCCAAATTCCACAAGACTTTTCAGAGTGCTTGGAATGACACCTACCCACAATTAAAACAGAAAAGAAGGATGAGTAAGTTAGGAACTAAAAATTGCATTTTTTCTAAATTAGATTTATCTGTAAGCTTTAAATATGTGCAAACATATTTCAAATTATCTGGTATGAATTGTGGTTTTTTGTTATTAAACAGCCATTTTGTTTAATCCTATGTGCAAAGTGAAAAGAGACTTGCTTTGCTGGATGTTTCTCTTTGGTAAGTATTAAATTTTGAGGGGGTGCTAGTCTTTCTAGCCAAATTGAAAACTTGTTCAGAATTTAGCAGATACTCCATCTGAGTTCAAGCTGTGTTAGGGTTTGGCTACATATTTTTCTTTGGCAATGAAAAGGATGTTTGATTCTTATGATTGGTACACCTCAAACAGGCTCACACAAATTGTTGTCCTTGTATGGTAGATGTGGAGGAAACCAACATATGAGAGTAAAATTTACCTCAAAGAAAAGAAGTGAGGAGTTTAAGAGATAGAGAAATGGCTTTGATCAGATGCTTTGAGGTTTTGAGCTTCTAGTATTTTGATTTTCAACATACTTTTTCTTTTCTTCAAAATTTGAAAGTTTTGGGGTTTCCCTAGCCCTTGTTGTTTCTTTAACTTTCCTATCCATAACTAATGGAAAGAAAGTGGTTTGGCTATGTTCAAAGCTTAAAAGAAAAACAGCTACCACCCATAAGCATCTATTATATGCCATAACATTGAACACATATTGTCTCATTTAATTTTCACCATCTCCTTACACTACAGTATTATCTTCCCCACTTTACAGATGGGAATGATGAAACTCAGACAGATAAAGTGATGTCCACAAAGGCATGCAGTTAGTAAGTTTTGGGCCTTGTCCAACCACTATTCCCTATGAAATGTTTTGTCCAGGATTCCCTTGGGCTCACTCCTCCTGCCTTCCCTACTTTATCTGAGTAACTCCCATATCCTTCAAAGCCTAGTCTCTGGTTTTCCATCACCACTCCAGTCTTTGTTAGGTGCCCTCTCACTTTCTCCGAGACTGAGTCTGCCTGCATCAAACACAGATTACAAGTATATTGAGTCTCTCTCATCTTTAAATCTTTAGTGATTCACTTAGCTCTATTTATTAATATTTATAGAATAAAAATATAAATTAGTAATTTCCTTAGAATTTCTATGAATAGTTGCTCCATTGCCTTATCTGAAAAGAAAACCTTAGTATCCAATAAAAATTCCTCTCTGCAGTCTTTCCAATGGAGGCCATTCACAAAACAGTTGAAAGGAGACTGCTGGCTTTTTGTTCCCCACACTTCTTTCATACTATTCTCCCAACATAACCATTAAATTTCACCTCAAAAGAAGAGCCACAGTATTCAGACTACTCTTCCACATTTGCAGTACATCTTAGTTTCCGTATTCTTGGATAGTGAAGACAGAACCTCAGATAAGAATTAAATGCTAGTGCTCTATTGGGAGTTAAATCCCAGGAGAGTGAGAAGGAGAGAAAAGGCAAGTGGTGCAGGCAAGAAAGGTGAAGCGTTACCTCTCCGCTGACGTGGTCACAAAGCAGGGCAAAAAGCACATACTATCATTTGGCAGGTGCCCACACTCAGTCATACAGGAGCTCTTTATGCAGGCTGATTGGAGAAAGTAAGACAGAGGAAATTGACTTGCCCCCTTTTCTCCTGTCTCTCTTTGGCTAAGATGGCACCAGAGAGTGTTAACCACCTTGCATTACAGTTAGTGTCATTCAGCTCCTTTAGCAGCCTCCTGGGAAGCAAGATGCACTTCCCCTGGTGGCATTTCCTGAAATCTAGAAGAGATGAGAGGAGTCAGAGACTGTGGGCTTGAAGTGGTTGTTTTTTTTTTTTTTTTTTTTTTTGAGACGGAGTTTCGCTTTTGTTACCCAGGCTGGAGTGCAATGGTGTGATCTCAGCTCACCGCAACCTCCGCCTCCTGGGTTCAGGCAATTCTCCTGCCTCAGCTTCCCGAGTAGCTGGGATTACAGGCACGCGCCACCGTGCCCAGTTAATTTTTTGTATTTTTAGTAGAGACGGGTTTCACCATATTGACCAGGATTGTCTCGATCTCTTGTCCTCGTGATCCACCCGCCTCGGCCTCCCAAAGTGCTGGGATTACAGGCCTGAGCCACGAAGTGATTGGTTTTAAAAGGCTGACTGCATAGCCCTGCATGGATGCATCTGTTGCATTGGTAGTGGAAGTGAAATAAGCTGCTGAAAATTGAAACAGTTAAAGCTGAGAAACTCACTAGAGGCATATGAATTCATACAGACACATTTCCAACTGGTACATTTGATTCACTTCTCTTTTTATACTATTTTGTGTCACAAATATCACAGCTTTTCAAACTATAGTACAACTGGTCAAAATGTCCGAATGTTGTATACCAGGAAAATATGCTGGCAACTCAACTACAGCACGAGTCTAAAATCAAATTTTCTAATACTGTCCTGTCAAAACATTTTCCTTCTCTGATTTTTGTCATTTCTCTTCGTGGAGACATGAATACTCGTATTAACTTAGGTTGAAACCTCAGAGAGAGATCTCTGATTCCATCCCTCCTTCTACCCATAGGCAGAGCCTATCATGTAAATATATAAGCAATCTCTCAGCAGTGATGAGGATACTCTCTGGCACAAATTTCACATTTATCAATAATTTAAATAAAATAAATGAATCTGTTTGCTTTTCAGTTTGCTGCTGCATTTGTGTGGAATGTGCTAAGTTTGCTGATAGGGAAGTAGGAGAGAGTATAGAGAAAACAATAAACTAAGGACAGTTTTGCAACTACCCAGACACATTGGACGAACGCAGAAGCTCTCGTTGGGAGATTGTGAAGGTTAGGTTCTTCATGTTTCCATTGCCTCTTGTGACCGTAACCTCATATTACAAGTCACTATAGTTGGAACTGTTACACAGAAATAGTTATACATTTCAAGAATATGAAATGTATTAATTTGTCATATAATTATATGTTTTGGTTAGAAGAATCTCAGAGGTACTTAAGCTGATGATCTTAAACCTTCAGTCCAGTGCTGACATCTT